TAAGTGCCGTGGGCCTACCCCCGCTACCTGCGTGTTAACCCCCCCTGCAACCCTTCAAAGTCACGGCCACAGGTAAGTACCGGCCCTGCGGGGCCTTGCAACCAACAGGTACCCTTACGGGTCACACACACACTCAACCGTCAAGCACTCAGACAGGCAAGCAAACGAGCAGGCATGCACACACACACACAGACTTGGAAAACACAGCAGAATGCGGGAATCACGGCAAGGCATTCATTCCAGTGGCAAATCCCAGAAATCAGCAGTGTTCTCAGTCTGTGCTTTGGCGGGTTATTACAATACCCCCTCATCTCAGGACTATTCTGTTTTTCATGCGTCTAAGTTGTTACCTTATGTAGAAGGAGATGAATTCCCCCATAGACCATCTATGATACCGCCAGATATGGATGGTGGATATGAAATGGACCGAATTATAGAACAAGGATTCTTCTCTACAGGTGCACGAGGACGACCCCAGAAGCAATTCAAGGTTCGTTTTAAAAGTCAGAGCCCATCTGAGGACAGATGGTTTAGTAAAAGAGAACTCCTTGAATCTGCTCCTGATATTGTCTCTGCTTATGAACGTGGGTTGAAGTCTTAAATATTTCTGCGATGGAACTCGAAATTTGGGTCGGCAAGAATGCAGTAACCCTGTTCAACAGCAGACCGGGGCTCAGAACTTTGCCCCCGGTAAGACACAGACTCAGTTGTCTGTGCTGGGCTACGTGACCGAGACATGCCCAGCCTGAGTCTGTCAAGGAGGCTGTGTGACCAAACGCAGCACAAGGGAAATTCAACAGTCAAAGACAACTGTAGAGTCGAAGGTACCGCACCCAGGCCTATGGTCGGATACATTCACTTGTTGTGTGCAGGTACCCAGACAGCATTCAGGGCGGGAGGAATACAGTTTCTGGCCAATCTGGGCCCTCCTTCACATTGAGATCTGGATGGTGCACGACTTCAGCACCCGGGGTCCAGACCCCGCATCCACGCTATTTAAGAGTTGACTTCCTGGCTGGAGAACATTGAGTCTTGCGTGAATGCTGACTTCACGCGTGGACTTGACGCWGTTGCTATGATGCGACATTGYGACATTGGCTTGACSCYAGCTATATGCTGGCAAAGGAGGACRGCAAGGCGCTGCTGGCTGGCAAGGTGCTGGYTGGCGATGGTCTTCTGGGCATGCTGAYGTGGCAGCTGCCACGMGCCGTTGCTGATGTGGCCGCTGCCACCTGTATACGTGGCGGGCTGCGAGATTGATGAGGCTGTTCTGATTCTTCGTCACTTCGGAAGGGGATCAAGACTGTGGTTATCGAGGATACRTACCTGGTTGATGACGATACTCTCYATTTGCTGATGTAGACAGATTGACGTGCCACGTGGCACCTTGAGGAAGAACTTCAGACATTGTATTCAGTCTATTGATTGATGAGGTGGCGAGGAGGAGGAGGAACCCGGAGTAGAAGTGGGTTGTTGTCTTCTTCTCTCTCCTTTGTCTATTCTCCCTCTCTCCTCCTTCGTCTGTGTATGATTCTCACCTCATTCTATCATCACACACATTACGATTGTTTGTCATTCATCAGCAGATCTATAATCATATGGACTGGTAATGTTGACGAGTATCATCACGTCTGGGCTCATTGCAGTTTTCTCTTTCTTAAAAATAACAAAAAATGTCGAAATCCAAAAACAAAATATGGGTTTGTAGAGATTTTCAAACCCTACAACCCTACTTTTCATTTTTTTATTTCTTTTTGGGCCCATTTTCCTGGGAAGTAAACATACTGTAAGTTTCACAGAGTGCGCGCGGTCAGTGGCCCCGCTGTCACGACCGCAGGGGATACATAGCGAGGAAGGGCAAGGTCGGTAGCCCGTCAGCTGTTATTTGGTATAAAGCCAAAATGGGTGCAATGGTGAAACAAGCAAAGGTGACAAAGCAGCCAATCTGTAAGGCCGGTGAGAGGGTGGGCAAGCTCCAGCGGCCTAGGCTTGGTAACCTCACGTTTTTTAAGTTTGGTCAGCACTTGAGAAGATCTACTCTCAGGGACAGGCCAGCATTATGTGGTTACAGTCGCTACTGGTCACAGCCTCGGCCTTCTGGTTGAAGTCCAAGCGTAGCAACCAGAACAACCGAAAGGTAACAACACAACCAATACACAAAATTGAGTAAAAGGAGCTGCATTGAACTAGTAGCGGAGCCGATCAGCTCCAAGATGCAGCAAACCGAGAGAAGATCTGTGTTCTGTGTGTGTGTGTGTGTGTGTGTGTGCGTGTGTGTGTGTGTGTGTGTGTGTGTGTGAGAGAGAGAGAGAGAGAGAGAGAGAGAGAGAGAGCAACGGGACATAATAAATGTTCTACGTACATGAATGGCGGAAACATAAAATGAAAAGTATAAACCAGAGCACGTTGCCTCTCTCTCAATTGAAACGTCGGCAACACGGCTACTTTTCACTTATTTTACTATTGCCCCTATCTTGTTGAAGCTAAGCCCCTCTCAGCCTCCTTCCTACCCAGCCTCGACCCAGCAACACAATCTCTCTCTCTCTCTCTCTCTCTCTCTCTCTCTCTCGGCCCATCTAGGAACAAACAAGCGTCCCATTTTCGTTTCAAATCATTCCGATATTACGAATTTTACATATGTGCCTATGTTCTATGTACCTAACCACCTCTTTATACCCGTATATGTCTATCTGTCTACTTTGACTATCGATCCATTTTATCAAAATCATTCGCTTTACTCCAATCGTGGCACGACCTCGCGGTGCTTGAGACAGAAGCAGCTTACCGCCTCCCTGCGAGTCTACCAAAACTTCAAACGCCGGGCCCGACATCGACTGCCCGCCTCGCTGTGCCTTAGGCTAGTCGAAATATGAAATGCTTGTTGGACCGGGCAACGCCGGGCCCGCGCAAACTACTCCGAACGAAAAGGGGAAAAAAACTACCAAACTCTCGAACCAAATATACATAAAATTTGATAAAAAGCATCGTCGAAATACTTGAATTCATCGCTCTAGCTGTTTAGACAAAGAAAAAAGGTAGACCCTCTAAATCGATCCAGTATTTTCGTCAATCTATGGCTTCCAGAGCGTGGTGGTGTCGAAGACGAGGGAGGTGACGACGTACGGGTCCATGTTGGACGCCGGGCGACGGTCCTCCATGTACCCCTTCTTCTTCGCCTCCGTGTCTCTTCCGATCCTCACGGACGTCCCTCTGCTCGCAACGGCCCACGAGAACCGGTCCATGCTGGCCGTCTCGTGGCGGCCCGTGAGCCGCCGCTCGTTGCCCTCGCCGTACGCCTTGATGTGTTCCTTGTGCCTCAGCTCCAGATTCTTCACGCCCTCCATGATCACCTCCCATCCGCCGTCCTCCCTCATCGCCTTGGTGCTGAAGTTGCAGTGGCACCCGGCACCATTCCAGTCGCCTTGCACGGGCTTCGGGTCCAGGGACAGAATCACCCCCTCCATCTCAGTAATCCGCTCCAGCAAGTACCGCGCCACCCACAGCTCGTCGCCTGCTGCGATGCCGACGGCCGGCCCCACCTGGAACTCCCACTGCCCGGGCATCACCTCGCCGTTGGTCCCGCTGATCGTGATGCCGGCGTACACGCAGGCCTTGTAGTGGGCGTCCACGATGCGCCTCCCCCACGCCTTGTCAGCACCCACGCCGCAGTAGTACGGCCCCTGCGCGCCAGGGTAGCCATTCACGGGCCAGCCCAGCGGCCACTTGTGCTCCTTCTCCAGCAAAGTGTACTCCTGCTCCAGTCCGAACCACGGCTCCGTCTCAAGCGCCTGCTGGAACAGCTTGTTGGCAGCGTAGCGAGTGTTGGTGGGGATGGGCTCGCCCTGAGGAGTGTAGCAGTCGCACATGACAAGGATGTTGTCGCCGCCTCTGAAGGGATCCCTGAAGATGGCCTGCGGATAGAGAATCACCTCGCTGTCCTCGCCGGGAGCCTGGCCCGTGCTGGAGCCATCGTAGTTCCACTTGGGAAGCTCAGACACCGACTTGACGGGACCAGGCAGGGTGCGGGGCTTGCTCCTGAGGTCAAGACCACTCCCTCCCACCCAGATGTACTCCGCAATGATGCGCTTCTCGTCCGCAGGCATCTCCAGCCTCAAGAGGTCCTCTACGGTCGCCGCCATCGTCCACAGTCTCCTGGTTCTTACTCTTCGTCTGCTTCGCCCTGGATGCGAAGCTGCTCTTCCCGATCACACCGCCCTCGTGCTGCTGCTGGAACGCCGGCGATGGCGGCTTGATAGGCGGGAGGGAGATGAGTCCCAATAACCCGCTTATTCGGAGCAACAGTAAAAGTTTCCACGGCTGCGCTGGACTGGTGAGCCTGCGCCTCGCGGGGGACTATATGCACTCGCAACCCTTGTCGCGATGATTCCGAGGTACGGTAGTGGAGAGGGGCCTCGCCCCACCACTCTCGTCATGCACAAAACACACAATTATGGCGGTGCACCTTTTCACATTCTAGCCGAAGATTCGTTCTCGTTTTGCACTCTTCGAGAGTGGTGGAGCGAGGCCCCTCGCCCCGCTTCCGGGCGGAAGCAGGGGAAAAAGCTCCAGGGCTCCACGACAAGTATCTGTATCTGGACGGCCGGACGGATGGGATGCATTTGGACAGGTAGTCGAACAAATTTGAATGAATTGGACCGCCACGTGGTTGTATGACTCCCGTGAGTGTGAGGGCATCGCCACACCACTCTCGAAATGTGCAAAATGAGAATGAAATTCGAGCTAGAATATGGCCAGATGCACCCGCTACACTTTTGTCTTTTTCACATTCCGAGAGTAGTGTGACGAGGCCCTGAGGGGTGTCGGCAAATGGTAACTCCAGCACACTGGGAGAGCGGTGAAATCTTGCCCACGCATGCGGTGGAATCTTGCCACACTGCTGAAGAAAACATTTACGAGCGCATCTTTCCAGGGAAGGCGCCAGAATACATCATTTTACTTTTGTTTATAGTAAAGGCTGCGTAGCTCCGCCGTGTCCGGAGTGGGCGCACTTTTCGTTTGTCGTTTCGTGGCTCCCGTCTTGACAAAAATCATGGCGGTGTATCTTTCGGTGTTCTAGCGGACGATTCACTCTCGTTTTGCACATTTCGAGAGTGGTGGAGCGAGGCGCCTTATCGCGGCGTAGGGTTAGCTTGTATATTCATAATCAGGGTGCGTTGTGTTCGGGGCAAGACGGTAGTATGGCCAGGATTGACAGAGAGCAGAGAATCTGCTAATAATACTGATGATGACTTTCCTGAATCTGTATCCGACCCGAATTATGCTCACTCGTCGGCCGAGGGTATTGTGGACAGGGCTCCTGAATGATTAACTGTCGCGCTTGGATACACCAGACCCTAATTACATTCACATGTCAGCCGAAAATGTCCCTAATGGTACTGTCGTTCCCCGAACACAACGAGCCCTGATAATGCGGCTGGCCCCGCTCTAGCCAAATGTGATCATTTATCATTTACTACGTTTGCAGCCACGGAGGCCGGGAATCCTCCACAAACAACCCCTGAGGTCTGGGGCCATTACCCAGCTTTTAGGGCCTAGTTGCACCACTCGCCATCCGTCACATTTCGTGGCGGATGCGTGGAGAGTGAAAAAACTGAGGGCATACACACACGGGGACCAAAAGTCTCAAAAATTTGAGGCATTTGGTCCCCACGGGCGGACCTCGTCCAGAAAGCGCGACCCTGACACTTCGCATTCACGGAAAGTGCTCCCTGTCAGGGCCTCGCCACACCACTCTTGAAAGGGCATTTTCAAGAGTTGGACGCGTAGCCACACAGCCACTTGAGAGTTGTAGCCCGAAAACTCTTTCGAGAGTTGTCAGAACCTCGTTTCAAGAGTAGCACTCGAAACTCGGAAACGGCCAGCCTGCAGCACTGCTCTTTTCAAGCGTCCTCCCGAGGGCACTCGAAGGGCCCTTGATTTTCAAGAGGTGTCAGGCCGTTATCCTGACGCCATTCAGAAAAAACAAAGCTGTACTTCTGTCGTTTTTCATCGTTTGTCCAACACCATTGCCCTTTCGAGAGTGCTGTGTGGCGAGGGGCCCGAAACTCTTGAAAGCCCAACTCTTGAGAACGTCTGACAGCTCTTGAAAAATTTCCCCGTTTCATGAGTGGTGTGGCGAGGCCCTCACACGGGGGAGGACCAAACGAAAAGATGGATTGTTTGAAAACAAAAAAATAACGCTTGGGCCTTATCTACAAGACTACAACTTAAATGTAGTCCTTCGGGACATCAGTTAAAATTGGAACGATACAGAGAAGATTGGCATGGCCCCCGCGCAAGGATGACACGCATACAACTTAAATGTACCTGGTCGCACTTTCAGTTGTTTGGCGGGCTGTCTACTTCGTCTTTCTAGAAAACAGAAGAAAAAAAAAACGAAAGGTAATTTGAGACCACCTCCGGAGGTGGTCTCAAAAAGGGTACGCCCGCGGCCCCGCAGGCCGCTGACAGAAGGGTCACGGTTTGAGGCATTTGGGTAGCCAGCCTCTCCAGAGTGACCCAAAAAATGACTCAAATTTTGGGATTTTGGTTTTTTTGGTCCTGGTGTGAGTATGCCCTGAGAATCGTGTCGAACTCGAGGCCTGGTTGCACTTACTCGCCACTACATTTCTCCTACAAAAAAGTTAAAAAGTTTTGTCTAACTGATGTCGACTCGTGAACCCTGCACTCTCCAGAAAGTTGTTTTTGTGGAGAGGTCCGAGGACCACCCTCCACAAACCACCGTGCACAGGCGGGGAAACCGAATTCACTCTCCACAACTTGTGTCGACGGTGTGGTGAGCCGTCTGACACATTTTGCATTCGCCAAGTTTGGCGAGTAAGGGACTCGCCACACCACTGCCGAAAACTGAATTTTCGACATTTTCTCCTCGCCACACAGCATGTCGAAATCCGAGATGCAAAACAAATTCAGGAGCTGTCAGCGAAAGGGTTTCGACACCTCCTCTCGAGACGGGCTCGTTTCCCAGCCTGCAACTTGCACATTTTCAACAGTCCTCGGATGGGATGTCGAATTCTTGCCCGAATGTCGAAAAAGAGAATGCACCAACGCTTGTCCTATCTTCACCCCAGTTTGTCTCTTTTGTGCACAGGACGTCTGAGTTCTTCACTTCTATCTGCTGTGTGGCGAAGAGGGGTTTTCTGTCGAAAGAGGGAATGTCGAAAATCTCCTGACATATGTCGAATTTCGTGATGTTTCGACATTGGTGTGGCAAGGCCCTAAGTGCAACCAGGCGCCTACTTGCCAAACTTGACGTATGGCGAGTAGTGCAACTAGGCCCTTAGGCTCAGGACCTCGCCACACCAATGTCGAAACAGCAAAAAATTTGACATATGTCAGAAAATTCTCGACATTCCCTCTTTCGACAGAAAAAACCTCTTAGGGCCTCGCCACACCACTCTTGAAACGGGGAATTATGTCAAGAGCGGTCAGACGCTCTCAAGAGTTGGGTTTTCAAGAGTTTTCGGCCCCTCGCCACACAGCACTCTTGGACACAAGATGAAAAAAGACACTCATACAGCTTTGTTTTTTTCGCATGGCTTCAGGATAACTGCCTGACAACTCTTGAAAATAGAAAGTCCGTCAAGGGTTCAGCCAAGGACGCTTGGAAACGCATGCGTTGCAGGCTGGGGTTTCCAATCTTTCAAGAGCTGCTCTTGAAAGGGTTTCAAGAGCCACTCAGACAGGCTGACAGCTCTTGACTGCCCCAAGTGTCAAGAGGCTGTGTGGCGATGCAGCAACTCTTGAAAAAGAGTTTTCAAGAGTGGTGTGGCGAGGCCCTTAGCCACACACCATGTCGAAGTGAAGAACTCACGAGTCCTATGCATAAAAGAGAGGAACTGGGGTGAAGATAGGACAAGCGTTGGTCCGTTCTCCTTTACGAGATTCGGGCAAGAACTCGGCATCCCATCCGAGGACTGTTGAAAATGTCCAAGTTGCAGGCTGGGAAATGAGCTCTTCTCGAGAGGAGGTGTCGAAACCCTTTCCCTGACAGCTCCTGAATTTTTTTCGCATCTCGATTTTTTATTATTATTTTTTTCAAAACAATTCATACTCATTATAACAATCACAAAGGGGAGGCCAGAGACCTCACAATTCCACCCGGAGTTATCCCGGCAGCATCAGCCGGTTTAGCTTATCAATTAAACCTCACTGTTTCTAAACTCTATCCCTCCTCAGATCTACGCAACATACATCACTCCCTTCTACTAGCTGACTAATCCCACTCAGAGAATTATCCGTTTGCCCCTCATGATCACATTGCAAGCTTTCTTTCTTCCTTCTCACGATGGACGTTCAACCAATGCTCTAGTCTATTCTATAGCCTACCCCGGCTATATCTTCACAGGCCTACACGGCCTGGCACCGGCCTAGAACAAAGTTCCTAGTTACCTTGGCACAATACCACCCTCCACCCCTTACTGACCTCCTGCAATCTGAAGCTCGAACCGAAATGCCCTGGTTCGTAGCCCCACTCCTGCTAACCAACTACCCCCCTTTTAACAGCCAATTAATGATAGCCCGCCAGCTGATTACGAATAGTCCAGGTCCTCATAAACCACCATAATGCACGTCGACAGGCTTTTCCCTCCCTTGCCTTCCTTCGCCAATCCACTGCTATTGCCTGTCTCAGACCTTTTTTTATTGTTGCCTTCAGCTCCTTGTCTGAGAAATGGTGTCTTTCTAACCTAGAGCGATTGCGATCCGCCAAGATTACTGCACAGATCACAGCCCTGGCCAACTGTGCTACGTACAGCCAACCCCTGAGGCCTGTGCTTCCCTCCTCAGTAAAACCCAACAAAAGTTCAACCCACTTCTCATCCCAGACTATCCCTTCTTCCCCCATCAACTGCGAATGTGTGGCCCACCAACGCCAGATATGTCTGGACGCCGGACAGTGTCTGGTGGACTCGAATGGCCAGCTGCAACGAGTACAACCCAGCTCCACTTCCACTCCTCGTGCTCTGAGCCATACTGCAGAGGGAGTTACTAGCAAGGAGAGCATCCACAATATACTTGCATGTTTCACGTTTAGGAGATCCATGAGCACCTGTGACGAGCTTTTTTCTGCATCCGTGTGATTTTCTGCGCAAGACGACGTCCGGGGTTGAGTTGGGATGGTCAGGTGAATTGCATGGGTGCCCGGGCTTTGCTTGTTTTTCTGGGGGAATTGAGGTCGGGGTAATCTTGCGACGGTTGGTATCCGATCACGCCTTAGCAAGCGCGAAAGGTAACTATTGACATAGCTTCTTTCTTGTT